TAGAAATTTCTTTGTCCTAAGTTTTTTTAATATCTTCTATTTGGCTATAGCCTTCTTTACTTTTTTTATTCATTAGAGGTTGCTTCTCTAGTAAGACTTGTTCTTTTTTTGTTCTATCTACTATCTTTAAGAAGCTTGTTAGATCTATTATTTCTATATCTGATTTGCTCTCACTCTCTTGTACTATTAGTTCCTCTCTTTTACTATGTATTCTAGATTATTTGCCCTAGTACTACTTTAACTTTATCAATTTCTTCAGTTATTGCTGCTCTCTCTATTACTTTTCTCTATTCTCTTGCTACTATTACTATATTACTTTTTATTTCTAAAATCTTTATGATCATTTTATCTATATGATCTTCTAGACCTATAACTGCATTGCTTCCTTTTTCTATTATTTCTTTGCCATATTTTTTTGTTACTACTTCAACTAATCTTGTTGCTTTTGCTCTGTTCTATATACTTTTAGATTCTCTTCTTCTTTGTTTAGTTCACTAAGTATTGTTTCTAGAAGTGATTTCATTTTTTTTTGAAATTTCATAGAAGTTTGAAGAAAGACTTTTATTATCTTATAAATAGAAACTTTTAAAAAATATAGTTAATTTATTAGAGCCCTTTAATAATACTACTACTTATTTTAGTAGTATACAATATACAATAATATCAATTATATACTCATTAATCTAAGTTCTTAAATATATATATGCTAATACTAAAAATCTAAATAATTAGATTATAATGTTGAGAATATTTTTTAATTTATCTTTATTTTACTTAAAGGATTATTATTTATACTTCTCTTCAAATAAAAATATCTCTAGAAAAGATTTTTTTTTTTTTATTATTAAGGTAGCTTTCTTTGCTGATTAGATTTTATTGATTTGTTATTACAGAGCTATCACAAAGACAATTTTCTAAGGTTTTACAATTATATGATGAATATATAACAAGCTACATATATAACTTTAGTTATTATCTAATTTAAGTAGTCTGCTATATAGACAATTGACTATCTGTTAGTTCTATACTATGCTGCTATACCTGCAACTATATAGAATAACTTTCTCATAATTGGTCATCATATAAAATTGAATAACATATTATTATTAGCTAATTGTAAGACATATGATAATCAACTAGTTAAATTATATTATATTCATAAACTTAATTAGTTTCTATCACTTCTTACTTTAACAAAAGAATAAAGAAAAAAATAGGTCTAGATATATATTTTTTAAATGTCTACTATACCTTTTATACCAAACTAATATAGTATTTGAGGATCTATTATTTATTATACCTAAAGCTCATTATAATAAAACTTATTAGTCTTAATATATATATATATATATAAAGTTTTAACTACTTTTATTCTAATTCTATTCTTATATATTAACATTCTTTATGCTTTAAACCTCTTTAGCATAATTTGAAAACTACTTATCTATTGTTAAAAAAAAAAAAAAAAAAAAGGTTGTATTGTTAGTTTTCTTTAAATAACTTAGTTATATTTAATGATTTAGTAATTACATATAGTTTTATAGTTATAACCTATATAGAAATTTAATTTTCTAGATAAGGTACCTCTAGATACAGGATTATTTAGAATTATTTTGCATAGTGACTGTTAGCACTTCTTCAAAAATAGTGATGAGTTTAATTTTGATTTTTTACTTATAAAATATTATATTTTTAAAAAGTACTTTAAACTATATAAATACAATTATAAATAATTAACTAATTAGAAGAAAGTTATCCTATATATTGCAACCTGCCTGTAGGTTACCTATTTAAATACTCTGATTATTAATCCTTTTTCTTATCTCAAACTAATGTTACTACTATATCTGATTGCTTAAGCTAGCTAACTTGCTTATAAATTCATTTACTATATGATCTAGATCTCCTTAGAATATATATAGCCTAATATATTATGAGTATGCAAAGCTTCAGTTAATCTTGAAAGCATACCTACTAGAGTAGTCTGTGTCTATTTTATGAATTTATCTAGATTAGATCTTTGTGATGTTTATACAACCTTAGTTCTAACTATAGATCTTCACCAGTATCTATATTCTCTCTTTTAAGATATTTCATAAGATAGATTCTTTTAAATTCAGTTAGCTACCAAACCAAGTTAGTGTTGTTAATTCTTCTTGTAAAACAGACTTACTTGCACTTATCTTAATTTACACCTTTTTTAGTAGTATTATTTATCAGATCAAGTATTAGCTAGTATAACTGTTAAAAGCTATACTACTTCACTAACTTAGAGTTTTCCCATGCAGGTCTCATGTTTGTAGATTTTATTAAAATTTATTTATATAATATTATATCATATTATACTTTCAATGTTCAATCAACTTAATACAACTCAATTTATAGAGTTACAACTTCAGAAACAAACAGGGTTTACTATAAGTTAGATTCAAAGGTCTAAGTAATTATTTAAATTTATTGATAGTAAGATTTGAACTTCAGATCTCTTGCATAGTAGTCTAATAATCTAACTACTACATTAAGATTACTAGATCTTAGAAAAAATATTTTTATTTAGAATAAAGTATAAATAATACTTTATTTTTTTTTTTTTTATTAAGGCTGCCTCTTTGGCTAATTGAATTTTATTAATTTCAAATTACAGAATCACACATATAGTTTCTCCTAAGATTTATAATTATATGATGAATATATAATAAGTCATATATACAACTTTAATTATTATCTAATTTAAGTAGTCTACTACACAAACATTAAACTATCTGTTTTGTTCTACACTATACTGCTATATCTGCAACCTGCCTATAGGTTACCTATTTAAATACTCTGATCATTAACTTATTTCTAATTTTCAATTAAATTCACTACTATATCTAACTGCTTAAGCTAGCTAACTTGCTTATAAATCTTTCTTCAATATGACTTAAATTCTCTTGAGATATATATTGCCTAACATATTGTAGACATGCAGAGCTCTAGTTAACCTTGGAAGTGATTTCTACTAGAGTGGTTATATGCTTATTTTACAGATTCACCTAGTTTAGACTCTTGTGATATTCATATAACTCCAGATTCTACTGTGGTCCTCTACTAGTCAGTTGATCTAGTCCTTTTCTAGTATCTAGTTAGTCCTAGTTACTTTTCATTTGGTAACCTTGAAACCTTCTACTTTTATTAAACTGAGTTTTTTTTTCAGATCAAACTTTAACTAATATAGTCCTATAGGAAGGCTATACTATTTCATCTACTCAGAATTTCTACTATACAAGTTTTCTGCTCATATATCTCATTAAAATTTCTTCATATAATATTATACACATCATATTTCTAATTTCAGATTGATTTAGTACAACTCAATTTACAAGAGTATACTTCTGAGAACAGACAAGATTTACTATAATATATCACAAGATCTGAGTAATTATTCAAATTCATTGACAGTAGAATTTGAACTCTAGACCTATTGCATAGTAGTTTAACAACCTAACTACTATACTAGATTGCTAGACCTATAAATAATACTTTATTTTTAACTTTTAATTCTTTAAATAATTATTATTATTTTATTTATTTATTAAGGTTGCTTCCTTAGCTAATTGAATTTTATTAATTTGTTATTACAAAGTTATTATAGTAGTAATCTCTTAAGGTTTTATAATTATATAATAAGTGTATAACAAGCTATATATACAACTTTAGTTATTATCTAATTTAAGTAGTTCATTATACAAATAATCAACTATCTATTAGTTCTACTCAATATTACTATACTTGCAACTTACCTATGAATTATTTATTTAAATACTCTGATTATTAACTTTTTCTTTTATATCAAACTAATATTATGACTATATCTGATCATATAAGCTAGCTAACTTGCTCATAGATCTATTTACTGCATAACTTAGATCTTCTTAGAATGTATATTATCTAATATATTATAAGTATATAGAGTACTAGTTAACCTTAGAAGTAATTTCTACTAGTATAGTTATATACTTATTTTATTAATTCATTTGAATTAGACTTTTGTCGATATTTGTATAAACTTAGTTTTTGCTATAACTCTCTATTAGATTAGTTTTCTAAAATTCTAGTCAGATATTTTATGAGGTAAATTCTTTTAATTTAGTTAGCTACTAAGCTAAGTTGGTGTTATTACTAATACAAGATACTAGATTGTATTATATAGCAGACTTACCTGTATCTACTTAATTTATATTTTTTGTACTCAAGTTTTTTATTAGAGCAAGCATTAACTAGCATGACTATTAAAATCTGTACTATTTCATCAAACTCAGGATTTTTACTATACAGATTCTCTGCTTATAGATTCTATTAAAATTTATTTGTGTAATATAACTTGAATATTATATTACACTTCTAATGTCTAATGATATTAGTACAATATAATTTACAGAGTTGTAACTTCTAGAAATGAACAGAGTTTACTATAAGTTAGGTACAAAGGTCTGAATAATTATTCAAATTCATTGACAGTAGGATTTGAATTCCAAACCTCTTGTATAGCAGTTTGATAACCTAACTACTATACTAAAATTACTAGATCTTTTTAAATAATTATTTATTTATTTTGAGATACCTATTTTTAAAAATGAAGAATCTTCTGATGATGATAATAGTTTTGAAGATGAAAACTTGTAACTCTTAATTTTAACAAATTACTATTGTCATTAAACACGTTCAGTAACAAATACTACAAATTAAAGTAATGATTATATTTATATTATACAAACTATTCTTAAAACTTTATAATATACAATTTATGATTCTTTGTTTAATTATTAGAGTAAACTACTAATATCTAGGTTATTAGTATTACTTTTAGACTCTAGACTAAAGATACTAGTAAATTGAAATAAAGATATTCAAAATATGATAAAAAAAGAATCAATATAACAATTTAAAGAACTAATTAGTTTAAATATATTATCTAGCTCTAGTGTTTTAAATAAATCTAAAAATAATTTTTGTTATAATCATTTATACTCATCAATATTTAATATATCTAATATAAACTCTATAGAATCTAGTCCTATAGATAAATTAGAATATTATTTAGATTCAATATATATACTTCTTGCTAAAAACAATATTGATCCTTTTAAGTAGTAGTTTAATAAAAAAGCATAGTTTTCTAATGTATTAAAATTAGCTAAAAAATACTTATCTATTTTTATATCTTCTATATCTAGTAAAGATTATTTTCTGATGCAGAAAATTAGATAATAGCTAAATATACTCAATTAAATTCAAATTTAGTAGCAAAAATAATGTTTGTTAAGAGAAATTATGATGTATTTAAAACAGTTTAATTTGTTTTCTAAATAAATAAAGGATAATACTATTTGTATTTTGTTTTTTGCTATTCATACCTTCTATATATAAAAACTTCTATTAGATGTTCTTAAGCACTTTAGTCAATTAAATCAGTATAGGTCAAAAAGTAAATTTTAACTAGTAAAAAATAGTTTTATGAATTAATTATATTTAATATTCTAATAAATAATATAAAGCTATAATAGTTTAATATATCATATAAAATCTTAGAGAAAAATTTAATTAATAGAAAATTATTTAGCTAATCTAGAATATTTATTATTTCAATTAACAAGAGACAGAGATCTAAATATTATTTTTTTTAGAGTTGTACTAATTAACTAAAACTTTTTAAAATTATAATTAGTATAGACAAGTTATTAATTTATTATTATAATATAATTAAATATTATCTCTAAACAAGTAGCTAAAATAATTTTTTTACATAGAGAGAAGTATAAATAGTAATTTCTAAATTGCTTAATTACTAAAATTTATAGTAATATAATATATAGTTAAATTTAAGTTTTAAATTATTTTTTAATAAATGATTTAAGTTTACTTAGATATCTAATTTCAAACTTAAACAGATATACAGCTGAGATTTTTACATCTAGGTCTTATCTCTAATTATATTCTACAATATAACTATATATTATATTTAGCAATTTATTTAATTAGATTTGATGATCAGATGTAATATTATATTTGTTTTGAAGATTAAATATAAAAAAATTACAAATATCTTAAAATTTTAATTGTAAAACTACTTTTGTTGTTCTAATTAGAATAATTTTTTGCTAAATTTTACTATAAACTTTAAGCTAAATAGAAATTTGGTTTTTTTAAAAAAATTATATTATACAGATCTTCAAACTATGTTTTGTATATATATATGATATATAGCTATATTATAGAGTATAATACATATATTTATTCAATATTGTATTTAGTACTTTTTTTAGTTAATTAATTTGTTTTAATATTTGTTTTGCTTTGTTTTTTTATTTATTATTGTTATAATAGCTAGTTTATATAAAGTTGAAAATATTTTAATATTTATATTTAGAGATAAGATTTTAGTATTTGTTAGAGATAATGCTGAAATCGGATAATACTGAAATTCACATGATATCTGTATTAGCAGATTTTCTAAAATTTCTGTATATCGTGTAATGATATAAGATAATACAAAAAAAAACAAATTCTTCTTTAGCATTATACGTACATACTTTATTCTAGTATTCTGGCATTGTTTCTTTAAAGACTGTACTATCAGACCAAATTCAAATGAATAAAAGTGAATATAAAAAACTTCTGCCTTAAAATATAAGATTAATAAAAAAAAACTTACCAATACTATAAAAAAAGAGTTTACTATTTTCTAGAATTAGTGAAGTATAAGAAATGTAGAACTCAAAAATTAGCGAAAAAAAAAAAAAAAAAAAAAAAAACAGAATAAAAAAAGAAAAGTAAGTATAAAGAACTTCTACCTCAAAACATAAAATTAATAAAAAAAAACTTACTAATATTGTAAAAAACGAGTTTGCTATTTCCTAGAATTAGTGAAGTATAAGAAACATAGAACTCAAAAATTAGTAAAAAAAAAAAAAAAAAAAATAGTTTTAGTTTCTTTAATATTAGATATTTTGTAAAAAGTTTTTACTCTCGAGCCTAACTTTATATAGTCAGAAGAGAGTACATATAGATCTTTTGCTGTATTATCATTTTGAATATCATGTAACATTAATGATTTTTATTATTATAATAAAAAAAAGATTAAAATAAACCTTTTCACTCTTATTATAATCCTAGTCTATCTTATTCTAATTGTAACCCCTGAACTAACATATTTTTTATTCAATCTTCCAATTTAAAAAAAAAAATTTTTTAAAAAGAAAATAACAAACCACTACACTAAGATTGCCAGATCATAAAAAAAAAATTTGGTTATAAACAAAATGAAAAAGAATTTAATAAGCATAATATAGAAGATCAAGATGCTAGTAAAAAAAAAAAAATATCGATTATGATTTCTTTTTTATAGCCTGAACTTGTTTAACTGGAACTCTAATATCTTTACTATCCATCTCAACAACTGCAGTATGATTGTTGGCCTTGAAAGACTTAAAGATACCTTGTTCTGAAAAATTCAGCTGTAACTTTTTTTTGCAAGTTTGTTGATTCATATTATGATTAGGTGCAATAGCGACTTCAGTTCTGGCTTCGATTATATTGTTTACTATTTTTTTTCTATACACACTATGATAGCCTAATTTTTCACAATATTTTTCAAGTGAAGCATTTATAGATTGATGAATTTCAAGCATATGTGAAATACGTTTCTCTACAGCAGCTTCACTTGTTATAGTTTCAGAAGTAGTAGTCTTAGTGATATTAGTAGTAGTAGTTTCAGTATTGGTAGTTTCAGAGACAGTAGTTTCAGAGGCAGTGGTGATCTTAGAGACAGTAGTCTCAGAGGTTGTAGTAGTTTTAGAAGCAGTGGTGGTCTCAAAGACAGTGGTCTCAGAGGTGGCTGTAGTCTTAGTGGTGATAGTCTCAGGAGCAGTGATAATCTCAGAGGTAGTATTGGTTTCAGAGAGACCTGTTATAAACAGAAAAACTCTAAGTTTAGTAGTTACAATTTGAATTTTATTTGATTTTTGTATTAAAAATGATATAGACCAGAAGTATCATATACACAATGTATTTTTTATTCAAAAATTGCTTTATGTGGTATGCAACTATGTGCTTTGTAAACAGTCAAATTATACGACACCATAAATACATCTATTACATTAATCCAGTCTTTTCTCTGTAACTAGTTATTTTCATCCTAAAGCAACTTAGTAAAACTATGATCTACAGTCTGATTGAGTCTCTCAATTTGACCTTGTGACTGTAGATAGCAAGGCCTACTATATCTAATTATAATATTGAAGGCCTCACAAATTTCAGAGATAATGCTTGCAACAAACTCCTTATCATTGTCACTTTGAAGAATTATAGGGGGTCTAGAAATTTTAAAAACATCTTTTAGAAGATGCTTTATGATCATACTTACTTCTTTACTCTTTATGAGAACTGCAACTAAAAATTTGAAG